TGTTAGTTCTGCCAAGTTATACCAACTACCAGTATTGTCACACTATATACACTGTACGTGTTAGTTCTGCAAGCTATATCAATTACCAGTATTGTCACACTATATACACTGTACGTGTTAGTTCTGCCAAGCTATATCAACTACCAGTATTGTCAAACTATATACACTGTACGTGTTAGTTCTAAGCAAGCTAAGCTATATCAATTACCAGTATTGGTAACTATATATACGCACGTGTTAGTTCTGCCAAGCTTTATCAATTACCAGTATTGTCACACTATATACACTATACGTGTTAGTTCTGCCAAGCTATATCAACTACCAGTATTGGCAACTATATACACTGTACGTGTTAGTTCTGCCAAGCTATATCAACTACCAGTATTGTCAGAACTATATACACTGTACGTGTTAGTTCCGCCAAGTTATGCCAACTACCAGTATTGTTACACTATATACACTGTACGTGTTAGTTCTGCCAAGCTATATCAACTACCAGTATTGGCAACTATATACACTGTACGTGTTAGTTCTGCCAAGCTATATCAGCTACCAGTATTGTCAAACTATATACACTGTACGTGTTAGTTCTGCCAAGCTATATCAACTACCAGTATTGTCAAACTATATACACTGTACGTGTTTGTTCTGCCAAGCTATATCAACTACCAGTATTGTCACACTTTATACACTATGCGTGTTAGTTCTACCAAGCTATATCAATTACCAGTATTGTCACGCTTTATACACTGTACGTGTTAGTTCTGCCAAGCTATATCAATCCTACCAGTATTGGCAAGGCTATATACACTTTACGTGTTAGTTCTGCCATGCTATATCAATTACCAGTATTGTCAACTATATACACTGTACGTGTTAGTTCTGCCAAGCTATATCAACTACCAGTATTGTCAAACTATATACACTGTACGTGTTAGTTCTGCCAAGCTATATCAACTACCAGTATTGTCAACTATATACACTGTACGTGTTAGTTCTGCCAAGCTATATCAATTACCAGTATTGTCAACTATATACACTGCACGTGTTAGTTCTGCCAGAAGCTTTATCAATTACCAGTATTGTCACACTATATACACTATACGTGTTTAGTTCTGCCAAGCTATATCAACTACCAGTATTGGCAGCACTATATACACTGTACGTGTTAGTTCTGCTAAGCTATATCAACTACCAGTATTGTCAAACTATATACACTGTACGTGTTAGTTCTGCCAAGTTATGCCAACTACCAGTATTGTCACACTATATACACTGTACGTGTTAGTTCTGCCAAGCTATATCAGCTACCAGTATTGGCAACTATATACACTGTACGTGTTAGTTCTGCCAAGCTACTTAATCAACTACCAGTATTGTCAAACTATATACACTGGTACGTGTTAGTTCTGCCAAGCTATATCAACTACCAGTATTGTCAAACTATATACGCTGTACGTGTTAGTTCTGCCAAGCTATATCAACTACCAGTATTGGCAACTATATACACTGTACGTGTTAGTTCTGCCAAGCTATATCAACTACCAGTATTGTCAAACTATATACACTGTACGTGTTAGTTCTGCCAAGCTATATCAACTACCAGTATTGTCAAACTATATGCACTGTACGTGTTTGTTCTGCCAAGCTATATCAACTACCAGTATTGTCACACTTTTATACACTATATGTGTTAGTTCTACCAAGCTATATCAATTACCAGTATTGTCACACTTTATACACTGTACGTGTTAGTTCTGCCAAGCTATATCAGCTACCAGTATTGGCAAACTATATACACTTTACGTGTTAGTTCTGCCATGCTATATCAATTACCAGTATTGTCAACTATATACACTGTACGTGTTAGTTCTGCCAAGCTATATCAATAACTACCAGTATTGTCAAACTATATACACTGTACGTGTTAGTTCTGCCAAGCTATATCAACTACCAGTATTGTCAACTATATACACTGTACGTGTTAGTTCTGCCGAGCTATATCAACTACCAGTATTGTCACACTTTATACACTGTACGTGTTAGTTCTGCCTAAGCTATATCAACTACCAGTATTGTCACACTATATACACACTGTACGTGTTAGTTCTACCAAAGCTATATCAATTACCAGTATTGTCAAACTATATACACTGTACGTGTTAGTTCTGCCAAGCTATATCAACTACCAGTATTGTCAAACTATATACACTGTACGTGTTAGTTCTGCCAAGCTATATCAACTACCAGTATTGTCAAACTATATACACTGTACGTGTTAGTTCTGCCAAGCTATATCAACTACCAGTATTGTCAAACTATATACACTGTACGTGTTAGTTCTGCCAAGCTATATCAACTACCAGTATTGTCAAACTATATACACTGTACGTGTTAGTTCTGCCAAGCTATATCAACTACCAGTATTGTCAAACTATATTCACTGTAGATATTTGCATGGCTAACACGTTGACCAAACAGTGAATTATCCCACAATCAACTCATTACATACACAGCGCATAGTTCTATAACCAACACATTAACTAAACAGTGTAAGATCATTTGGCAGTCAGGTTAATCAGGCACATCCATGTCTTCCTGAACCAAAGATATATTTCCTTTGTCAATTTTGGTAGGCCATCCGCCGTAATAAGGCTGGAATAATGCTTAATAGATGTAAAACCCAATTGATTAACTGATCCATTTCGATGGAATGTGCCAACAGCGACTCGGGCAATGTATAGACCAAATACACCATACGTATGTCTCTGTATTATGGTTCTTGCACATATTCGGGGGCGGTGGGGTAGCCTAGTGGTACAACGTTCGCTCGCCACACCGGAGACCCGGGTTCGATCCCCCACATGGGTACATTGTGTGAAGCCCATTTCTGTGTCCCTCGCCGTACTATTGCTGGAATATTGCTAAAAGCGGCGTAAAAACTAAAACTCACTCACTCTTGCACATATTCCTTCATTGAAGATGATGAATATTAACAAAGACAAGACCTAAAAAAGGTTGTCCACATTTAAAACCAAATAAACAAGATATATTCACTACCCGTACTGTCAGAATATATTCACTGGCAATACTATCAAAATCTATTCACAACCAGCACTATGAAGCTGTATTCACTATCCATAAAACTGTATTCACGTTGTCAAGGTATAGTCACCATCAGTCTTGTCAAACTCGCTGAAGTTCTGTCAATCTTCATTCACTTCCAGTACTAACACTTGAAAATCTGTCAAGCTATATTCACTACTCGTACTGTCAAGCAGCATTCACTGTCAACACTGTCAAGCTCTAATCACTTTCAGTTCCGTCAAGCCATACCACTATTCTCTCCAGAACATATTACCCACGATAGCGTTGTGTGTGGCAGGATTACTTATGACACTAGCACAAGATACATATCATTAACTCGCTTCTATGATATTAAAGAAAGTTCTGTTAATAATATGAGCCAATACATTGAGAGTATGACTCAACGCACCACATTCTTCTCCAAGCCTTGGTTCCGATCTGCCACCTAAACACTAAACTGGACTTCGTTATTACAATAAAGGCAATCGCTGGCCACATTCCTTTCAAACAGAGTGGACAATACTCAACGAATGACGATCATGGCTGTATTGTAGTAAGAAATTGGAAAGTGGAACTGGGATTTGGTTTCAAACAATAACAGTCAGAAAACACCATGGAGTGTCCAAGTCGAGAGATCAGTTATCTCCCCTATTTCACCTACTGGACATATATTCAAAATATCAATGAAACTACTATTTGTTCTTGAGATATCATCTGAGGTCACACAGTGAAATATATAATCTTTCTGATAGATTCTTCCAGAATGTCAAATAAAGACAACAGGCAGCGTTGCAATGTGGCATATCGGAGGACACAATGTCGTCTTCTTCATCATATTCTCCAACTCATCCTCTGCCTCTATTCCTTCTTCCTCTCCTTCTTCAGCTCATCCTCTGCTCATCCTCTGCGCTATTCCTTCTTTCTTTCATTCTGCGTCTATTCCTTCTTCCTCTCCTCTTCCTCTGCTCTATCCTCCTTCTTCTTCTTCCTCCTTCTTCTTCAGCTCATCCTCTGCGTCTATTCCCTTCTTCTTCCCTCCTTCTTCAGAGGCGTTTCCTTCTTCCTCTCCTCCTTATTGGGGTAGCTTCTTCAATGGTTGAAGCGTCTCGCTCATCAGACTCTGAAGAACCGGGTTCAATTTCCACATGGGTACAATATGTGAAATGGTCTATTCCTTCCTCCTCTTCTCCTTCTTCAGCCATTGTTGCTGTCCTAATGGTTTGCCGTGATATTGCGCAATATGGAAACCCATTGTTGCTGTCCCTTGCCGTGATATTGCTATCGCTAAACGGGGGGTAAAACAATACTCACTCATTCACTCAACCTCTCATTCCGTCTTCTTCAAATTCTATTTCTTCTTCATGTGATCTCCAATTCCTTCCTCCTCTCCTCCGCCGGACCGCCTCCGTGGTGCAGTGGTTAGAGCGTTCTGATCCCCAACTCATACCCTCTGTTGGTCCCTGCCTGGCGCTCGGCATTATGGGTTCAGCAAGGACTGGTCTTCTTCTGATGTGATCCTCCAACTAACCATGATTCTTCTAGTCATTCCTCACATGAGCGAAATATTCTCAAAGCACGACGTAAAACCAATTTCTCCTCTCACCTCACCTCACCTCCACATCATCATTATTCTATTATTCTTATTACTGTGTTTCTGTAATCTCCTGATCTGGTCAGGCTACAGTGATTACAACTTACTCAAGACAGACGTTATTGCAGGCGTGATTGAGTGGTATAATCCCCTACACAAACACTCACCGGTAACTCCTTACTCATAAGCACAGCTAATGGAATACAATGATCGTTTTTAGGGGCTGATTATGCATATTGAATAAAAAATTGCCTCGGGCGGTTTGACTTTCTCGGTCGGCTCGACTCGACGTGAGTCAGTTGGTTGATGTCGGTGAGTCGCTATGTCCAGTGTGTCCACATATCTAACCTCTGAGGGCCAGTCCAGGGACACTGTCCGGAGAGCACGGACAGCAAGCACGTGAGCCAAATAATTATAAATAACCAATCAGAATAATAATAATTATAAATAACCAATCAGAATTGGATTGATATACAGTTTTCATATACAGTCTTGAAACTGTTTCTCGTCCAAAATGAGGGCATATTTCATGTTATACTTAGTATCTAGACACATGGATGTATGTTTTGTGTCATTTAGAGACTGGGGCATTACTTTATGTGATTCCTAAAACGAACACGACATTTAGTGTGCCACTTGTGAGAAGCTTTTCCTTACCATACCGCGTTATCGGTACATTAAAATAGTGTCCGATGGATGTCATCTGCGTGCCGTGTGTCTGTAGTGTGTCATATATGTTTGCCCACACATGTTCCATATGTTAATTATATCACGTTCTGATGAACTGGGGAATAACATATTTCTGAACCATGTTTTTAGATCTATATTATTCCACATCCTGATATTCTGATGAAAGGCAACACATTTCTGACTCTTTCTCTATATATGTAGACTATTCCATGAGTTGACGTTCTAGTGGAAGATAACACACGTCTCAACCATGCTCTGTATACTAGTATACATTATGCCAAGTGCTGATACTATGGTGAATGTGTTTACACTGTGCCGGACGAGTACAGATTACCTATCCATTGTCTATACAAGTGGAATATTTCACGTTCTAACACTTTGCTGAATGTTATTCTACGTAACTATTGTACGTAAGTAGATTATCCCATGTGATGTCACTCTGCCAGACGAATACATCCTACTCCATGTTCTATATGTGTAGGTTATTCGATGAGCTGATTTTCTGGTGAATGATGACATGTTCATAACTCATGATCATGTTCTATATACACATATTATTGTATGTGCTGCCGTTCTAGTGAGAGATAACAGATTTCCCACCCATATTTTTTGTATGTGTTGTTCAACATGCCGACAAACTGATGAATGATAACATATTTCTGATCCTTGTTCTATATAAGTAGATTATTCCACGTGCTGGATGATAACATATTTCTAATCCCTGGTCTATATTAGTAGATTATTCCACGTGCTGGATGATAACATATTTCTGATCCCTGTTCTATATAAGTAGATTATTCCACGTTCTGGATGATAACATATTTCTGATCCTTGTTCTATATAAGTAGATTATTCCACGTTCTGGATGATAACATACATATTTCTGATCCCTGTTCTATATAAGTAGATTATTCCACGTGCTGGATGATAACATATTTCTGATCCCTGTTCTATATAAGTAGATTATTCCACGTGCTGGATGATAACATATTTCTGATCCCTGTTCTATATAAGTAGATTATTCCACGTGCTGGATGATAACATATTTCTGATCCCTGTTCTATATAAGTAGATTATTCCACGTGCTGGATGATAACATATTTCTGATCCCTGTTCTATATAAGTAGATTATTCCACGTGCTGGATGATAACATATTTCTGATCCCTGTTCTATATAAGTAGATTATTCCACGTTCTGGATGATAACATATTTCTGATCCTTGTTCTATATACGTAGATTATTCCACTTGCTGGATGATAACATATTTCTCATCCCTGTTCTATATAAGTAGATTATTCCACGTGCTGGATGATAACATATTTCTGATCCCTGTTCTATATAAGTAGATTATTCCACGTTCTGGATGATAACACATATTTCTTATGATCCTTGTTCTATATAAGTAGATTATTCCACGTGCTGGATGATAACATATTTCTCATCCCTGTTCTATATAAGTAGATTATTCCACGTGCTGGATGATAACATATTTCTGATCCATGTTCTATATAAGTAGATTATTCCACGTGCTGGATGATAACATATTTCTGATCCCTGTTCTATATAAGTAGATTATTCCACGTTCTGGATGATAACATATTTCTATATATGTAGATCACTTGCTGGATGTTCTATATAAGTAGATTATTCCACGTGCTGGATGATAACATATTTTCTGATCCTTTGTTCCACGTTCTATAAGTAGATTATTCCACGTTCTGGATGATAACATATTTCTGATCCTTGTTCTATATACGTAGATTATTCCACGTGCTGGATGATAACATATTTCTGATCCCTGTTCTATATAAGTAGATTATTCCACGTGCTGGATGATAACATATTTCTGATCCCTGTTCTATATAAGTAGATTATTCCACGTGCTGGATGATAACATATTTCTTATAAATATCTTTGTTCTATATAAGTAGATTATTCCACGTGCTGGATGATAACATATTTCTTATAAATATCTTTGTTCTATATAAGTAGATTATTCCACGTGCTGGATGATAACATATTTCTGATATCTTTGTTCTATATAAGTAGATTATTCCACGTTCTGGATGATAACATATTTCTGATCCTTGTTCTATATAAGTAGATTATTCCACGTGCTGGATGATAACATATTTCTGATCCTTGTTCTATATAAGTAGATTATTCCACGTGCTGGATGATAACATGTTTCTGATCCATGTTCTATATAAGCAGATTATTCCACGTCCTGGATGATAGCATATGTCTGGTTCATGTTCTATATGAGTAGATTATTCCACATGCTGACATTCTAGTAAGAGTTAACTTATTTCTCAACCATGTTCTATTCATGTAGCTAATCCAACGTGGCGACACGCTGATTAATGATAACGTATTCCTGATCCATGTTCTATATACATGTAAGTAGATTATTTGAAATGTTGACAATTTGATGAATGATAACGTATTCCCGATCCATGTTCTATATACATGTAAGTAGATTATTCGGCATGCTGACAATTTGATGAATGATAACGTATTCCTGATCCATGTTCTATATACATGTAAGTAGATTATTCGGCATGCTGACAATTTGATGAATGTTAACATATTTCCATGTTCTGTATATTTAGATTGCCCCATGTACCGACGTTATGGTGAAAGTCATTTTTTACTCTTTTTTTTAATTTATTCTTTTTTTTTTTTTTTTTCTTTTTTTTATTGGTTCATTTTTCAACTCTTGTCCTATACATTTACAATATTTGTTGACATTCCAGGGGCGTAGGAACAGGGGGGCATTTTGATTTTCAATACTTTTCATAAATTAGCCCCCTCGCTCTGAAAACCGTTCCTACGCCCCTGCATTCTAAGATAAGACAATGCTATTCCATGAGCTGATGTCCAAAGACGAAAAATGTCAATGTAATAGTTGCTACTCATTTGCATTATCTAATATCGTGTCTTTATTGTAGATTACCCAGTAACATTATTCATGCATGTCACGGAATAAATTAACGGGCAAATACAGTTGAATCAGTTCATTTTGTGTCTAGGCCCGTCGGTGTCACCTATGACAAGCCTCATACAGCTGTGTATATCGTATTTCTGTGTTGTGTGTAGTGAGAGCGTTGTCAACACAGACTATGACAAGATGTGCAATATATCCAGCTAGTCACTGTAGGCGCATGAACTCGCCGCTGCACCTCCGTGTTTGTTTGTGTGGTAACCGCTGGAGGAGTGTTTACATAACTGCTAAGGGCTGTTTTATTTGTAAATATAACTTTTGAGTTCTTTTCATACTGATTATTAAAGAATACATGTTGACGGGTCATGTTTGACAAGATGTTTGAATATCTCTTTCGAGGGAGTATTTACTTGGGTGAAAATGTGTACATAGAAAATATTTTAAGAGCGAGTATATTTTACGCCGCATTGTAACAATATTCAAACGCACAAACTGTCACTCCTGTGTCACACTTTTGGGTGCGGTTCTTCGGACGATAGTTTCCTTTCATCTCATTATTTCACCACGTCCACCCTACTCACCTCCAACCTCACCCCAGATCCCATCTCTTTTAAGTGGTGATTCCGGTTTGGAAATTTCCCCAGCGTCCTCTAACGGCATCGGGCTGGACCATACGTGGTTATATAGTCGTACCCGATCATTATTGATAATGTCAGTCACCGGATTGTCTGATCACGACTTGAATATACCCGCGAAGATCCTAGTAAGAATTGGTCTTCAACAAACCACGCTTGTCGTAAGTGGCGACTAACCGAATCGGGTGATCAGGCTAGTATCCCAATTGCGTAGGTCGATGCTCATGCTGTTGTTCACTCGCTTGTCTGACTCAGGGGGCGGTGGGGTAGCCTAGTGGTTAAAGCGTTGGCTCATCACGCAGAAGACCCGGGTTCGATTCCCCACATGGGTACAATTTGTGAAGCCCATTTCTGGTGTCCCCCGCCGTGATATTGCTGGAATATTGCTAACAAGGGCGTAAAACCATATTCAGTCAGTCAGTCAGTGTCTGACTCAGCTTGTCGCTGCCATATAGCTGGAATATCGCTGAGTGCGACTGCAAACAGCAAACAAACAAACACTCAATCAAGTTTGAAAACTTGACTGTATGACTGTGTTTCACATAATGAGTCTTGAACCTATTTTGTACATGTAGATAATTAGGGACTTATCTTTGTGATTATGGTTAGATAACGTCATGTAGAAAAAGAAACGGATGAGTTCATACATGGTGTGATAGGTCAGTGGTTAAAGTGTTCCCTCTTCACGTTCTGGTTTGGTTCCCAACATGGGAACGATCTGTGAAACCTATTTCTAATGTTCCCCGACGTGATAATGCTGGAATTTTGTTTAAACAATACCATACTCACTTACTCATATTGCCAAAATTTGATCTGCCTTTGACAAAGCTTGCGTGAGTTGTGTTTATATGTTTTTTTAGCAATATTGCCTATTGTATTTAGTTTTTCAGTGTATCAATGTTGGGAATCAACCCAAGCCTTAAGTGTGACAGGTAAACGCTTCAGAAACTAGACCAAACAATTATCTATCGGGATTGTACGGGATTGTATAATAATCTATTTTGATAGCATATGTACTTAGGTACGTAGAATAAGCAGAATATGAGTCCATAGCATGGGGACTCTACAGTTTATGCTCATGAAACATACGCTGATTCAACGGTAACGTAACGGTTGTTTCTCACGGGATTTGTCACCTTGCACCAGGTATAACAGGTTCACAGAGATCGTAATATGAGTCATGGCGGTGGCTGTAAACTTTATTTAGTTCTGGAAGTTAAGTGTAGCCACCTTAGTTCACCACGGACCAGCAGAGCTACACATCGGCAATAATCCGAACAGCAATAATAGAGGCTTGTACAGGATTAAAAAGGCATAAAGAATATGACGAGACTGAGGCATTTGAGTTCAATACAAGTTTATATATAGAGCTCTCTCTGTCTGTCTGTCTGTCTGTCTCTCTGTCTGTCTGTCTGTCTCTCTCTGTCTGTCTCTCTCTCTCTCTCTCTCTCTCTCTCTCTCTCTCTCTCTCCTCTCTCTCTCTCTCTCTCTCTCTCTCTCTCTCCTCCCTCTCTCTCTCTCTCTCTCTCTCTCTCTCTCTCTCTCTCTCTCTCTCTCTCTCTCTCTCTCTCTCTCTCTCTCTCTCTCTCTCTCTCTCTCTCTCTCTCGTGATGCTTTAACAGCATCAGTGTGGAATATGTCTACATCAATGTAATGCGTGCATCTGCATGTATTTATGTATTTATGCCTGTGTGACAAGGACACAGTCTCAGAAGGTGACATGACGTGACAATGCATGAGTTACACCACCCGGCTCCAAGCGCCACAACACAAGGACCTACTGTTTGCTCATTACAGCCTTTGATAATGTGCCTTAGAATTGCAAGGGTCCACGTTTCTGGTGACAATGACTTTGCGGTATATTAAATATAATCATTATTGTATTTGCCAGGGTGGGTATTGTGATCTCGGATTGATATTGCGGCTGAATAAATGACTGTTATAATTGCTGAATATTAGCCCGAATTCCAGGACGTTAGTGTTTCAAGTCCTACAGACAGTTGTGTTCATTGGTAAGGTGAGGGAGGTGAGGTGAGGTGAGGTGAGGTGAAATTGGGTTTTACGTCGTGCTTGAGAATAGTTCGCTCATATGACGACGTGCATGCGTGTGTATGTGTATGTGCGGCTGCTTGGTCTAGCCCAGACTTAAGCTGGTTTTATAGTGCTAGCCCACTGAGATACCATGCCGCAGAGAAGCATGAATACCCCACTCAGACACATTATACTGACTCCGAGCCGACCAGTCCTTGTTGTACCCATTAATGCCGAGCGCCAGGCAGGGACCAACAAGTAACATATTTTAACGTCTTTTGGTATGACGCGGTCGGGGATTGAACCCGCGACCTGCCGCTCTCCGGGCGGACGCTCTAACCACTACACCACGGAGTATACCATATATAATTAATATACCATAGTTAATTAAGGTTTGAATATGTATATGTCTCAGATAAAGTTACGAGAGTCCGTGTTTACTCCTTGGTCTTGATAGATAGTGTGCGTGAGTGAGTTTAGTTTTACGCCGCACTCAGCAATATTCCAGCTATATGGCGGCGGTCTGTAAATAATCGAGTCTGGACCAGACAATCCAGTGATCAACAGCATGAGCATCGATCTACGTAATTGGGATACGATGACATGTGCCAACCAAGTCAGCGAGCCTGACCACCCGATCCCGTTAGTCGCCTCTTACGACAAGCATGGGTTACTGAAGATCAATTCTGACCCGGATCTTCACGGGTAGGTCTTTATAGAGCTCTATTGTTATTAGAGCGTCTTCCCGGAACGGAATATCTGTAGGTCGATTCCCTTGTCTCCTTGTAACAAAATATGTTTAAAGGTGGTACTTATTGTTGCACTTCCTTGTGCTTGGCTTTTAATGGATGTGATAATTAAGGGCCGGCTCGGGGTGAGAATATTCTTACGCATAACATCATTATCAAGTTGAGAAGGTTTTTCAAGGGGGTTGCAAGAGCCATGATGATGCAAAAAGGTTTCATCACCTCAGCTCTCCACCCAAAAGTAGGGTAAACAAGATAGAACTACGACATGGTATCTCAGTCGTCCAGCACTACAATCATAATCTGGACTAGTACAAGCGGCCACATGCGCGCGCACACATGCGCGTCGGTGCGTAAGTGCATTAATGTTTACTGCAACGTTAAACTCTATATAAGCAGGCTTGATTTCATCTTTTTGTCGTAACGATCCAGACTCTGTGTTTCAGGATCGCCGGCGGTGGCCATGGAGCAGGTCGAACCCCCGTCACGACGGAGTCATTTCCGAGACCGAAACAAAATGGCCACCTGTTATCAGGGGAGGGAACTCCGCCTGCTCCCCGACTAACGTTCTACCACAACGCAGGTGGATCACGTGTGAGGGCCGAGAATGCCCCCCGGAGACACAACAGGCGGCTCCAGTCACTGCCCCCGAGGAAGCCAAAAGGTACACGATACGGAATAGAAGACTCTAGATGATACGTAGTGCTTACCTAGATCCATGTATGTAGTGTAGTGTTGTAGTCATGTATTGTTGTAGCGACCATCCAGTAACCACAGCCCCGTGTCTGTTACATACACTACCGGACGAAAAAGAGTATACACTTACAATTGGATGGTATCAGACAATTAGAAATGTTATCAAACGTTACAAGCTTGAATCAATCGCCGAAATGCTACAGAAACAAAAGGTCCTGTACACGACCATGATACCCGTCTCAAAAACTGGACCATGGAATGACCCTTTCATTTTTAACCGCAAAAAAACATTGGTGTGTTGTACGTTTTGGGGGGGGCCGGCAGTATTCTTGATACCTACCTCCTAGGGTTGATTTGGTTGTGTGAGGTGTTGTCTCGTGATACCTCCCTTGGCTATCCGGGTTCAGATCTCAGATTCACTTGATACTTGGTCTGTCGGCACCTTATTTGTGCCGAATGTTTATTCCAATGTAAGTTCAGTAGCGTTTGCTCGTCATGCGAAAGACATGAGTACAGTTTAAGAAGACGTTTCTGGTGTACCACAGTACTCATGATGAGCATTACTGAAAGTGGGGCGGTGGTTAAAGCGTTCGCTCGTCACGCCGAAGACCCGGGTTCGATTCCCTACATGGGTACAATATATGAAGCCCATTCCTGGTGCCCCCGCAGTAATCGATATTGCTGGAATATTGCTAAAAGTGGCGTAAAACTAAACTCACTCACCTACAATTGCTGAAAGTGGCATAGAATATTCTCATCCAGCGAGCTGGCTAAGGCGCCAGGCTAGTGATCCAGCGAGGTTGAGGTGTCGGGATCGAGCCCACCTGTGACCGGGTATACAAACCTTGGAGTCAACTTTGTGTGCAGACTCTTTCAGTGTTGTCACAACCCCTAGTGTACAGTACACAACCCTGTGCACTTAAAAGAACCCACGAATCCGTTGGTATTTGACCAGATGGTGGCCACATGAATACGTGCAAACACCTAGTTGCGGGTACAGCAACGTGCAGTGAACATGGACAAAGTACTGTGACTATGTGTCCCAGTCCACCCAGCTGTGAATGGGAACCTCGTTAGGATGAGAAAGCCACAATAACTCGGTGCGCCTAGTGGCTGCAAGAGTTGTATACTCCCCAGGGAGTTGAGATTGATAATGCGATGTGCCGTTGAGATTGACATCCAATGATCGAGGGAAAAAATACCAGCGCCTTGAGCATGCACTAGTGCGTGGATATGTGCGCTATATAAATATCCTATATATATATATATCATCCATTCCAAAGTAGCATGTCTACAATGAGCTTTCCTAAAATCTTGTGATGTATCATTCACTGAGTCACTCACCCTCCAGCGCCCCTCCATACATGTACCTGCCCTCCTACCCTTACAGCTGACGATGACTCCCCCAGGATGGCCAACTCCGCCCCATCTAGGAAGGGCCAGAAGGCGGTGGCTCCCCTCCCAAAGCTCAACAACCTGATGGCAAAGCTGAAGACATCAGAGCGGGAGCATACATACGGAAAACACCGAACAAATGGTAGCGTAGCCTCTGACACGTCTAATGTAGGCGTAACCTCACATCTAACACAAGATAATAGAGGTGTAACCTTGCTTTTAACAGGATAAATATGATGTAACCACGCCTCTAACATCGAATTAATGATAGTGTAACCGCACTTGTAACACGGGTCAAAGGTGGCGTAACCTTACCCCCAACAGCAGGCAATGGCGTGAGGCTGCTTCAAACATGAAGGAAAACAACACCGGGCCTATCACATCAGGGTAGTGGTAGTGGTATCACAGTCTCCGGGATATTAACACGGCCTATCACATCAGGGTAGTGGTAGTGTAACCAGTCTCTGACGGCGGCACAGTGGTGATATTAACTCTTCTCCAACATCGACACCAGGGTAGTGGTAGTGTAACCAGTCTCTGACGGCGGCACAGTGGTGATATTAACTCCCCTCAAACATCGACACCAGGGTAGTGGTAGTGTAACCAGTCTCTGACGGCGGCACAGTGGTGATATTAACTCCCCTCAAACATCGACACCAGGGTAGTGGTAGTGTAACCAGTCTCTGACGGCGGCACAGTAGTGATATTAACTCTTCTCCAACATCGACACCAGGGTAGTGGTAGTGTAACCAGTCTCTGACGGCGGCACAGTGGTGATATTAACTCTTCTCCAACATCGACAACCGGGTAGTGGTAGTGTAACCAGTCTCTGACAGCGGCACAGTGGTGATATTAACTCTTCTCCAACATCGACACCAGGGTAGTGGTAGTGTAACCAGTCTCTGACGGCGGCACAGTGGTGATATTAACTCCCCTCAAACATCGACACCAGGGTAGTGGTAGTGTAACCAGTCTCTGACAGCGGCACAGTAGTGATATTAACTCTCCTCCAACATCGACACCAGGGTAGTGGTAGTGTAACCAGTCTCTGACAGCGGCACAGTGGTGATATTAACTCTTCTCCAACATCGACAACCGGGTAGTGAAATCTCGTGTCTAACACCGTGGAAATGATAGTGCTATCTAACATTGGTACATCGGTAACTACATCATCACCTTTAACACGTAGGCAACGATTGTATAATTTCACGACTAACACTGGTACATTGGTAGTGTAACCTCACCACTTATAGGTATATAGATGGAGATAACGGCCGTTTTTCCCCTTCTAACACCGGCACAATGGTAGACTAATCTCCTTTATAACAACAGTGCATTGGTAGTGTAAGCTCATCTCTTACACCGACACAGGGTAGTGTAATCCTACTACAACACCAGCATATGGACCAAGCAATCTCACCACTAACACCGGCACAGTGATATTGTGATCCAAGTCTAGCACCGAGAGTATGGTCGCGTAATCTCACCATTAACACCGGCTCAATAGTAGTCTGATCTGCCCTTGTAATAAGACACAAATATATGTAAATAATTTGCTAAAAGAGTATGTATTCACAAGAAACCTAAATCGCTCCATGACATTTCCATATTTTGGAAAGTGTTTTTGTGTTGTTGTTGTTGTTGTTGTTGTTGTTTTGTATCATTAAAGCATGTGTGATGCTTCAGTTGCTACAAGCTAGTTACAGTCCGTTTGAGTCAGAAACGGACAGATGAACTGCAAATTTTATGCCACATAAATATAAATAGTACACATGTTTATCATTTACTAGTACCCAACAGCTTTCTTATATTTGAACCTTTTCCGGACTCCGACAAAAAAGTTCTTTAAGAAACTATCATTAAAAGTTTGACACAGTTTTTTGATGGAGTCCGGAAAAGTTTCAAATATAAGAAAGCTGTTGGGTATTAGTAAATGATAAACATGTGTACTATTTATATTTATGTGGCAATTTTGTACAATGATAAAATTTGCAATTCATCGGTCGGTTTCTGACTCAAACGGACTGTAGTGTTGTGATTGTACGTTATGACGTTCCCAAAGACCATTAACGTGCGATAACCAAGCTACTATCTGTTGCTACAGACCATGCCGGAGTCTCTACCAAAGCGCACGAATCTCAGAACCAAAAGTAAGTATAAACCTGCCCTGTTCTTGCAACTCTCTCAAAACCATTTTTGTTCCACAAAGACACTCACTACGTCTGACTGCAATAATTCATCCAAGCGAATTGAAAGTTCCGCGTTAAGTTATGGTAGTTGATCAGCTAATCTTTAACTACTTCTGTTTCAGGTCCCAAAAGTTTGCTACCTCATGGGCTAACGCTAGAGCGGAACAGCCCAAACTCCGAAGGTATCATTCTTTCTTTAATCCTCCCTTGACCGCCGGAGATTCCGAAGATGACTAGAATGAGTCCTTTGCTTGTCACCGCCGCCATATAGCTGGAATATTGCTGAATGCGTTAAACAACCAACCAATCTGTGCTTGTCACCGCCGCCATATAGCTGGAATATTGCTGAATGCGTTAAACAACCAACCAACCTTTGCTTGTCACCGCCGCCATATAGTTGGAATATTGCTGAATGCGTTAAACAATCAACCAACCAACCTTTCCTTGTCACCGCCACCATATAGCTGGAATATTGCTGAATGCGTTAAACAACCAACCAGCCTTTGCTTGTCACCGCCGTCATATAGCTGGAATATTGCTGAATGCATTAAACAACCAACCAACCTTTGCTTGTCACCGCCGTCATATAGCTGGAATATTGCTGAATGCATTAAACAACCAACCAGCCTTTGCTTCTCACCGCCGCCATATAGCTGGAATATTGCTGAATGCGTTAAACAACCAACCAACCTTTGCTTGTCAACGCCACCATATAGCTGGAATATTGCTGAATGCGTTAAACAACCAACCAATCTTTGCTTGTCACCGCCACCATATAGCTGGAATATTGCTGAATGCGTTAAACAACCAACCAATCTTTGCTTGACACAGCCGCAATATAGCTGGAATATTGCTGAATGCATTAAACCACCAACCAACCAACCTTTCCTTGTCACCGCCACCATATAGCTGGAATATTGCTGAATGCGTTAAACAACCAACCAACCTTTGCTTGTCAACGCCACCATATAGCTGGAATATTGCTGAATGCGTTAAACAACCAACCAGCCTTTGCTTGTCAACGCCGTCATATAGCTGGAATATTGCTGAATGCATTAAACAACCAACCAGCCTTTGCTTGTCACCGCCGTCATATAGCTGGAATATTGCTGAATGGGTTAAACAACCAACCAATCTTTGTTTGACACAGCCACCATATAGTTGGAATATTGCTGAATGCGTTAAACAACCAACCAACCAACCTTTCCTTGTCACCGCCACCATATAGCTGGAATATTGCTGAATGCGTTAAACAACCAAGCAACCTTTGCTCGTCACCGCCACCATATAGCTGGAATATTGCTGAATGCGTTAAACAACCAACCAATCTTTGCTTGTCACAGCCGCCATATAGCTGGAATATTGCTGAATGCGTTAAACAACCAACCAACCTTTGCTTGTCACATCCGCCATATAGCTGGAATATTGCTGAATGCGTTAAACAACCAACCAATCTTTGCTTGTCACAAAGAGGCCGGTGTGGTTGTTGACTGCGGCAACACGCTCTTCACTTCCTGCTTCCACAGACGCAGACATGTGCATAGCAAGAAATGCAAATTGGCAAAACTATAACTATTGCTACAGACATTTATGTACATGTAGATTTTCCTGGATGGCAGTTGATGTAGACTTTGACTGTTGTAGCGCAAATAATTGAACAGACAATTATCAATCATCACATTTGTATTCTTCCTTCAATTTAGTTAAAGTCGTGTGCATATGCTTCCAAACTTAAATTTGACCAAATAGTTTTAACGAAACATTTTTACTCTGCACTGACTAGTAACGCGTCATTGGTGCTTGTCATTTACAATGTATGGCTTTACACATTTCATGTATAACCTTTCATATTCATTTTGTCCCAGTGACGACAGGGGTTCTCCTAACGAGAAACGCGATGTTCCAGAAAAGAGGTCTGACCCCTTCCATGCCAAGACCGAAAGAAGGTTACACCCTGTGATTCCCGAAGAGGTCACGAAAGAACGAGAGAAGATAGGCCGGAGGAATGAACAAACACTCAGCTTCATGTTCCACTCCTCGGACAAGGAGAACACTTCTCCCGTGAAACAAAGAGAGTCACCCAACTTGGACACGAAGGCAAGAGAGAAGCGGATTGCTCTGGCGAGAAGAGACTGGAACCCTAGTTATGTAGTTCCCAAACCTCCGGCCAGTAGACGACGGGTGAGGACACCCATCAGCCGGCCCTAACTGACGCCAATGAACTGTACAAAGCCTACACTGGGCACACGAAGCGGGAGCTGAGGAAGGGGGATGACACCATTAGCAGAATTGGCTCTCAGTATGGTGAGGTGTACCAAGCCACGATCACCATCTCGCCACGAAACACTAAGGAGTATGTGCTTACTCTCAGGGAAGCCGATGCATATAAAAAGATGAACTCTGTTTACGGTACTGAATCGTTTAGGAAAAAACGAAAATCATATCTCTTACAGAAATTAATAACCGTAGAACTCGACCAGATTAAGGAACATAATCAAACTGTTCGGGAAAGAGAACGAAAAAGGGTCGAATCTAAACGCCGGCAGCAGAAACAACTTAATCACCTGAGAAAACGGTTTAAAGACCAGCAGTATAGACGCTTCCGGTCCCAGTACGTCACGAGTCGCGTGTTAGAGCACGAGAAGATGAACCGGAATCTGTACGGACTTCCGGAAGAGAATGCGCCTGACGAGAATGAAGAAGAGGAGGAACTAGATGTGCCTGAGGATGAATCCGAACAGAGCGTGAAGAGCAGGAAGAAGAAGGATGAGCTGATTACATCGTTTGACAAAAAAGAAGAAGAGGAAAGCCTATGAGAGGAAGTACAAGAACATGTTCAACATAAGTGTGGGTCCGTCCTGGGATCCTCGAGCAACAACACCCAAGATGGAGGGAGTCGACATAATCGCTTTGGAGGTCAAGGAAAAGGACGGTAAGTTAGGCTCTGACTTCTACGTTTCGCCCAATAAGAACTACAGCTATTATGGATTAATAAGGTAGGCAATGTAACAATCTCGGATCAGTGACAACACAATGTGTTTGACAAATCAGCGCAAAGATGTTATGTCAGGTAACACATAGGGTAGGGGGTGGGGGTGGGGTGTTTGTTTGTTGTTTAACGCCGCACAGAGTAATATTCCAGCTATTTGGCGGTGTTCTGTAAATAATCAACTCTGAGCCAGACAAACCAGTTATCAGCATCATTAGCATCGATCTACGCAATTTGGATACGATGACATGTGCCACCCAAGTGAACGAGCCTGACCACCCGACCCCGTTAGTCGCCACTTACGACAATCTCATGGGCTGCTCATCGTGAAGGCTAACCCGGATCTTCACGGCTCGATGGGGTGTGTTTTTCTTACCGTATTGTGAACATGACAAACATTTGCTTCATTGTACATCAGGGGCGGTGGGGTAGCCTAGTGGTCAAAGCGTTGGCTCGTCACGCCGAAGACCCGGGTTCGAATCCCCACATGGGTACAATGTGTGAAGCCCATTTCTGGTGTCCCCCGCCGTGATGTTGCTGGAATATTGCGAAAAGCGGCGTAAAACCAAACTCAGTCAGTCAGTCATTGTACATCATGTTGTAGGAAAAGTCAAAGAGAGGAAGGCAGAGGTCAAAGACATCGTGAGGGACGCGAAGAAGTTATTACAGGACTCCAGTCGAGGTAGGTTTTCTCACGGTGGCAAGCGTGTCGTGTTGCAAAATATTTTATGGTCGCTTCTTCCTCGGATCAAAAATAATTCCAGTACCGTGTCCTTCTGAAATGCCTCAAGGCTGCCCGCTGATATTCTTTTCGATATTTAAGGTATGATCAACTTGCATGGTGTCTCTTGGCGTGTACAAATCTATTCGTACCTCGACAAACTGTCACAATGGTGTGTTTACAGGTGATGTGTGTAGATGGTTAAACCATACATAATGGAGAGACATCTTAATCATTGTGACCACACTGTCAATGTTGATATCAATATGAAGTACAGTGGACTCTGTATAATCCAACACTCACTGGGACCGGGAGAAAATGTCGAATTATAAAGAGTGTCGGATAATTCAATGTCTCCTTGCTTGAATACTTTTCAAACATGGCTTATTTCATGAAATTAATGCTTATAAGCTATTTTGTTGGTAAATAAAGGGAAAATAACAAATTCTGTATTTACATGTACATGTATATCTTCGGATTTATTGTCTTCAGTACAATATACATGCATGGACATAATTTGACAGTTAAATATGTTTCTGATCAAGTTGTCAGTTTTAAGATTGTACAAAGGTTGCTCTCAGCGAAAAGAAATTATGAAGACGTTGTGATAAAACTGTAGAGCGATGAAGTTACATAGGGCGATTCAGCAAGAATGCAATAAAACAATAGAGCGATGAAGTTACATAGGGCGATTCAGCAAGAATGCAATAAAACAATAGAGCGATGAAGTTACATAGGGCGATTCAGCAAGAATGCAATAAAACAATAGAGCGATGAAGTTACATAGGGCGATGAAGCAATAAAACAATTACATAGGACGATTCAGCAAGAAAGCAATAAAACAATAGAGCAATAAAGTGATAACGCCATTGGGTGGGAATGCAATATAGCGATATAGCAAAAACATTATATATGCCCGATTTCGGTGATTTCGGTGTTGTAATTTTAAACTAGCAGTTGAAACTGGTAGATACATTAATGGAGTACAAAATGAAAGGCATTGCCTGTTTTGTAAATTAAATGGTATCTTCGTTGTTGAAGATGAATGGCATGTGTTTTATATCTGTGATGCATATTCTCATATCAGAAATAAGTACATATCAAAATATTTTAGTAAATGTCCATCAATTATTAATTTTATATCTATATTACAGAGTAAAAATGTTAATATCATCAAGGATGTATGTCTAGTTTTATACTTTGTTGACAAAAAACACAAATCTAAATGAAATACATATGTGCTCTAATTAACCATCAATTTATGTATATGTATTTTGGGCCGGAGGCCTGTTACTGAAATAAAATTCTGTTCCGTTCTGATATAGCAATATCTCCATATTATCTTATATAAGGACTTGGATGAATTTCAGTGATCAATTTCTGTAATGCTCACCGGCTTTTACTGAGAATCGTTTAACGTTTTGTAGAAGGTATATTCGTGAGATATTGATACAGAATTATATCTCGTTTCATAGACGAGTGCGTTTAGTTTCTTGTTGCATAGTAAATAAGCAAGATTCACATGCACATTCACCTTCACAATCTCCCACTCCACAGATTTCTTACCATTTTTATGAGACCTACTAGGCAAGATGTTTAAATATGGTGTAGGAAACTTCGAAGATTCATATTCAAATTATATTCATAATATTATCCATCTCTTCGTTGAATCTTAAAACAGAAAAAGGTAGTTTGACCAAGAACAACAAGAATTAGATATAGACTACATATAGACTAAAAATTAACCACTGTTAGATTATACTCGTTAGATTTGGGAATAACATTTATGATGATGATGATGAGTGTTTTATTTAGTATTATTCTGGCAAATGTTACAAATTTACAGTGTATTGATATGTATTTTGTAGAAAATAAAATATATAGCTAACTTTCTTCACCTTAATAGGATATCAGAGAGCTTTTGAAATTGAATTCAGTGCTAATATGCCTGATGCTTGATGGACATTTAGAAGTTGGATGGTAACACAATGTATGGTATGGATTTACAACTTCTTTATTATTTCCGGGTTCGAATCCCCACATGGGTACAATGAGTGAAGCCCATTTCTGGTGTCCCCCGCCGTGATATTGCTGGAATATTGCTAAAAGCGGCGTAAAACCAAACTCAGTCAGTCAGCCAGTCTTTATTATTTACAACACGACGTTTCTGGGCTACTTCTTTTCCCTTCATCAGGTGAATGACAATATTATTTACCAAACAATTGATGAGATAAGATAGGCTGGAGCAGTTATAGCATAGGCATCATTCAAGCAGGGATGTACCGTTATGTTTTGCCTATTACATTGTGTGGTTGTTATAATTTTGTCACATAGTATAGACTGTGTGGTTTTTATAATTTCCGACCCGTGGAGATCACTTTTAGAACTGATCTTCAGTAACCCATGGTTGTCATAAGAGGCGACTAACGGGTATGGGTGGTCAGGCTCGCTGACTTGCTTGACACGTCATCGTATACCAATTCCGTAGATCGATGCTCATGATGTTGATCACTGGATTGTCTGGTCCAGGCTCGATTATTCAATACAGCTGGAATATTGGAATATTGCTAAGTGCGGCGTAAAACGAAACTCTCTCACTGTTATAATTTCTGTAGTCTGGTGTGAGTTATGTAACTAGATATCACATATAAAGACAGACAGTGAGTCTGACAGACGGATACCTGACACACACACACACACACACACACATTTGAACACACACAACACACAGATGTTTGTCAAGGTACATGTCTACAGAACATGTGTAATTTGAATCACCTCAGCTGTAACAACACCAGATGAAACTTTGATGTTTGTCAAGGCTGACATGTGCAACATACGAGAACATACACAAATAGATTTGCACATGTGAAGCGACATCATGCAAGCTGATTCATTCACATATAGTCCGTACCTGGCTGTGCCTTTTCTGCACTCCTCCCTCAAAATAGTGACCGATGTCAATATTGCAATGATAACTCGAAAACTAATAGGATATACATCAGACCAAGTTGGTCTCGTTTTGTGATTTGTTTTCAGAATTTTATGTTTATTAGTTTTCGAATTAAAAAGTCATGGTTTAACAAACTATCATTAAAAATGTTGTTTTCAACAGTTCACTATTGGTTACGAGTGGAGTTCGATTCACAGAAGAAAGGGACAGCCATGGGTACAATGTGAAGCCCATTTCTGGTGTCCCCCGCCGTGATATTGCTGGAATATTGCTAAAAGCGGCGTAAAACTCATTCACTATAAACAAATCATCTTCATTTCCACCAAATAGTCATATATGATTACTAGAAAGCATATGTATGACTCATATTTCATAAAACACGATATTTGTTTTGCAGATTACGACCTATCGCTGAACGAGTCGAGGCTGACATCTCCAAACAGTCGTTCAACACGTCTCGGAAGACGTCGGCCATCACTCGACTCTCTGGAAATAGATGATGACGATGATGACGATGACGATATTTTGAGCGTGCACGACGAAAGTACAACCTAGATGTGGACAGTCAAGTGTAGACCACAGTTGTAGGCAGGAGGTCTTTAGATTTGTTTCAAAACGACTTAATTGGATTTGTCTCGCAAGAGATGATTCCAGTCAAACGCCATGCTCATCCAGATCTGTGATATATCAGGAGACCTGATTCAATGTGTGACATATGTCATATATCAGAGGACAGCATTGATGTGTATCGTAAAACTCGGCCAACCTCGCTCAGATTTTGAATATATCAGAAGACCAGATGCTTGACGGGCATTTACAAGTTGGAAAGTAACAAAACAACGTGTGGTATGGGTTTACAACTTCTCTATTATTTACAACACGCCCTTTCCATGCCATACGTTGTTATGATATCAGAAGACCGCTAAGATATATGTATACCAGGAGACACAAGATATATATGCCGTATATCAAAAGACACCAGAGATATATGTTTTCAGTTTCCGCTCAGGAATAAGTATTGTGAAGAATCGTGTTCTTCATTCCGAAATTATAGACACAAGTAGGATAGGCATCATCGAAATATGTCGTATATCAAAGGACACCAGTGATATATATCAGAAGACATCAGTGATATATATATCAGAAGACACCAGTGATATATATCAGAAGACACCAGTGATATATATCAGAAGACACCAGTGATATATATCAGAAGACACCAGTGATATATATCAGAAGACACCAGTGATATATATCAGAAGACACCAGTGATATATATCAGAAGACACCAGTGATATATATACATATGATATATATCAGAAGACACCAGTGATATATATCAGAAGACACCAGTGATATATATCAGAAGACACCAGTGATATATATCAGAAGACACCAGTGATATATATCAGAAGACACTAGTGATATATATCAGAAGACACCAGTGATATATATCAGAAGACACCAGTGATATATATCAGAAGACACCAGTGATATATATCAGAAGACACCAGTGATATATATCAGAAGACACCAGTGATATATATCAGAAGACACCAGTGATATATATCAGAAGACACCAGTGTTCTGTGAAGTATTGGAAGCCGCCAGTGAAAAAGGTCTAATGTATTATGTCGTGTATCAGAACACCTCTGTGATATATAGCATGTCCATGACGCCAGTGATGGTATGTATATCGTGTATGGGAGTCTCCCAGTCAAATGTGTTTGTCAGAATACCTCACTGAGACGAGTAACAACGTCGGATCCGTTTGACCGTTTGACCGTTTGACTCAGCGATGCTTGAGGCGAGGAGACGCATCCCTAGATAGATGTAGAGGAGAAATTAACCGTTACAGATAGACTGATTTAACAATAGTGTTACAAAATAGTTAATACTGTGGTATTTCTGACCTCACCTTTGAGATGGCATTTTTCTAGTTTCAAGACATCACCATTATCTAAATAGCTATCTCACACGAATATTATCTCACATCTCAATATCTGTCTCACGCGGGAGGGTAACAGAACAGCTAGACAGTTGCCTCACGCAGGACTTCTATTGAAGTAGGTACAAAATTCCTGGATCCGCCTATGAGTGAGTGAGTTTAGTTTTACGCCGCACTCAACAATATTCCAGTTATATGGCGGCGGTCTGTAAATATTCGAGTCTGGACCAGACAATCAAGTGATCAACATCATGAGCATCGATCTACGGAATTGGGAACCGATGACATGTGTCAAGCAAGCCAGCGAGCCTGACCACCCGATCCCGTTAGTCGCCTCTTACGACAAGCATGGGTTACTGAAGGTTCATTCTAACCCGGACCTTCACGGGTTGATCCGCCTATGGGGTAATAGAACATCGTAGTAGCTATCTCGGGGAGGATAATGGAACACCCAAATAACTATTTCGGGCGGGAAGGGTAACATGCTAACTTACGTGGAGGATAGTGGGGCATCTAGGAAGCTACCTCACACGGGGGTGGATCGAACAGAGGAGTGAAAAATTGATATATTGTTAACATACCGTTTTGTGTACACGTCCTGCTATTGGCGTGAGTTTAATTATATTATAATGTATGAGTATGCCTATTACCTGTTAAACATTTACTTAAAGGCGCTTCAGTCCGTTATTCTACTGACCACTGTTAAACCGTTATAGATGTTGACATAAATAATATACATATCTACTACTAAAACATAACCCACAGTACATGTCAGACCTTTTTTCCCGTATTCTGACTGCATTCTGACTCTACAGTCAGAGTAAACTGTGGTTTCAACTTTCATGTCACATTTTTGTAAAGACAAAAATCACAAAACTCATTATATTTATGAGATCCTTATTTTGTATTAATGAAATAGATATATTTTCATGATGGCTTGTGTTTCAATCTTTTTTTCACTCGTGAAATTACTGATCTGTTAAACCGATATCTGAACTGCTAACCAGAATCAGGACGGGAATCAATGCAATAATACTTTTACTTGAACGTAGTTATTGATTTTGTTGAATAATCAACCTGCCTCTCATTTCAAACGAGGCAACTACTTCTCGCCATGCACTCGATACCTTCTACCAAAGATGTGTCTAGTTCATTAATCCCCGTTGCATGGCGTTCTTGGATTATGGTGTTTAGGCCATCTTTGAGGTACCATAGAGATGAAACAGTATGACGTCAGCGTTTTTTCTTTATCACAATAGTGCCCAAGCTACCCGTCTAATAAATGAGGTCTTGGAAAGATAACATTATGGTGAGCCGTGGTCTATCATGATATCAGCAGATTTCATCCCTTGAAGTTAAACAGACGATCTATAGCGAGCGAGTATAGTTTTACGCCGCTTTTACCAATATTCCAGCAATGGGAATATACACCAGAAATGGGTTTCACACATTGGACGCATGTTGGGAATCGAACCCGAGTGTTCGGCGTGACGAACGAATGCTTTAACCACTAGACTACCCCACTGCCCCTGCTGTCCACACCACCTCACCACTACCCCACCACCTACCGATGAGGAAACTCTAACCGACTGCAGCATTTACAGTTTAGTATTATACTACTGGTTGGTTGGTTGGTTTTATAGTTTTAGGGCGACGTGGGCCAATAAGAGGCCTATTTGCGCCCAACACATTGACTTGATTTAATAAACAATCATATGTAATTTCATCGCCAAAAGGAATCGTTTAGTTAAGATAAAAGAAACGACAACACTATTAATATTAATTTGGATAAATGTATACATATATCGAATAACCTCTGCTTTGTGTTACAGATTAAAAACCTTAAGTAATCACTTCAATTTCTGAAACATGAAATACTCATTCATTAAAAGAGCAGTAGGTTCAGATGACAGAGTGTTAACATGATTTAAAACCACAGAACTAAATCTGTCTAAGCCATTCGAGAGCCTGTCTAGATTACATCATATTTTCCAGATGACGAGACAAAATCTAAAACTGCCCGTTGCACAGACCCATACATGATATTGGGGCCCAAAACTGTTTCTAATGAAAATACATCATCAACCTCAAGTACAGCGCTTCTGAGATTATGTCTTATGTTGTTATGCCCAGGGCATGTAATTAGATAATTTTCGATATTTTCAGGCGTTTCCAAATTGCAATGGCCACATTTAGAAGAGACCGTCTTATCTATAATACTCCTGTAAGCATTTAGCCCACAGTGTTCAAGTCTGAGACGTGAAAGAATAACCTCATCACGCCTTTTACGACGACGAATTTTATGACCAGATTTTAGTGATGGTCTAAGTTTGTACATATGTCAACTTTTAACATCTCATGAACAATGTCATCTCTAGATCCATTTGCACCAGCTTCTATAGCTTTGATTGCTGCCATGGAATCTGTCAAGATAATTATACTACTGTCCGAAGAGTAGAGTTGCGTCCCTTGGTCACACTAAACACTTATGGTCGTGAGTTCGACTCCCAGTTAGCCAAGGTTATGTTTTTAGGTTTGTCTTGGCAATAACCCGTACCCGTGGGTTTCAGCAAAATGAGAAACGAAACCTGCATTACTTCGGGTTTCTCTCCCACATTAATCAGACACGCGGTGATGTAACTGGAATACTGTTCACAGCGGCTATAAAACTCACTCACCTTCTTCTTTTGAAGGGGCGCTTGGGTAGCTCAGATGTGAAAGCGTTCGCTCGTCACGTCGAAGACCCGGGTTCGATTCCCCACATGGGTAAAATGTGTGAAGCCCATTTCTGGAGTCCCCCGCCGTGATATTGCTGAAATATTGCTAAAAGCGGCGTAAAACTAACCTCACTCTTCCTTTGGAGGACCAAGGATTATTATTAGTATTATTATATTGTTTATCATATATTCTCCAGCCCATTTAGCTTAGCGTTCTAATGATTAATTTACCACTTATGACAAGCCACAGAGCCGACATTTTCAGCGAGAAGTTCGAAGGAGAAATGTTGAAACACTATGATCCAGAGAAATAAGCGGATAATGATTAAAAGATTAAAACGATTTCGTCGCATCAGCAAACTGCAGCAGTAAAGAAGGTAATAAATATAGATTGGTTATTAAAATGACTTCAGCAATCTGATCGTCATGGATTGCGCATTTATTCAGACCCTTATCTACCCAGACACATGGGGGTGGCGATGCGGGTGGTTCACGTGTCGAGGCTGTTGTTGTACGTACGTCAACACGGGGACGATCGATGCGGGTATGAGGGACGGAAACTCACCCCTATTGAATATGTGTCGCCTGGATCTGGCCGGGAGGTTGTCGACCCACATCGGTTGATTAACTTTTCATTGCTGTTGAGCTAATTTTACCAATGGAAAACATGCCGTGTTTAAAGACCACACAAGAGCACAACGTTTTTGCATTCGCGATAAAGCAGGTTGACCCCTAAACTTCGATACCAAAATTAATTTAATTAATGTCATGTGCCACCCGAATTCGATTCAGTACACAATCATGGGCATTGTTAGTTTTGTCAAACGTTCAAAAAATAAAGGACATTTTTTCATTATCTTCAAGAAATATCCACTAATGTGCACTGGCGCCTTAACACAATAGGCTTAAACGTTCTTGCACCACGACGGAGCATATTTACTGTCGGCATATGTGTTCCAGAATGCGTTACCCTTGAAGTTGTAGATATTTATTTCCCAGTTGCTGCGTAAGATCTGTTTGATTCCAAACACGTCAACCCGTGAAGGTCCGGGTTAGAATTGATCTTCAGTAACCCATGCTTGTCGTAAGAGGCGACTAACGGGATTGGGTGGTCAGACTTGCTGACTTGGTTGATCCCAATCATGTAGATCGATGCTCACGATGTTGATCACTGGATTGTCTGGTCTAGACTCGATTATTTACAGACCGCCGCCATATAGCTGGAATATTGCTGAGTGCGCCGTAAAACTAAACTCACTCACTCCAGAATGCGTTCTTGCCCGACTTTAGTAAACTTTCGGGCAAGAAATTCTACATCAGAAAATTGGATTTGGCAACAAAATCCTAGCGTTATGAAAATGTAATTGTTACTAGGCTGAAACAGTCGCCGCAAAAATACAAACGTTCGGTCCAAAACGCCTGTGGGGCGCTAAAAGGTTAACGGTCATATGGCCTCCCACCGGGTACCCATTTACTGTTGAGTGAACAATGTTGAATAAAGTGGGTGGATATGTATTCCCCTGTAGTACATTAGTAGCTTTTAAAAGAAGGGGTTTCTACGCAATACCACACGGGAACAACTACACAAAGCGACCTTTCAGTTGCAACTAAAATACGTTGAAGCCAGATCACATAAAAATGTTTAATCGTTGTAAAAGATTATTGTAAAAGCTTTTGAACACACTATTCAAATGTTATTAGACAATGTAATGCTTTCCATAAACTTTGAGTTAGATTTGTTGAACTTGGGGTATCAAAAAACGCTAAAGGGAGACGAACAATTTTATTTTTCACAGCATGTTTTGCGAACAAACTTGTTGGTGGCAAAGCCTAAGGAAAATATTTTCCCAGGAATATGTTCTGGTTGGTTCCTCAGATCGCAGATAATCCAAACACAGACATATGCTGACTGTAGGTCATGGTCGCAGACAGTCTCACCGGTTTACGCCATATATGGCCTTGTAGGGTGTTGATGCCAGGGCTTACCGAACACATAGTTCTTCCAAATCCAATGATCAAGAATGTCATAGATCAACGAAAATGACATATAAAATAAACTTTTCACACCGTTGACACGTCTTACCTTAAAACAGTCTGTTTAGGAAATACTACAAGTAGGCATGCATATCCAACGCAAATTATGTATTAATTCTTCAGTGGCGTAAACACAGAATCAGTGATAAGAAACATGCATGACGTCATTTGTGACGTCATCAATGACGTCATCACAAACGCCACACTGAAGCAGTAACAGGCATTCGCTGCAGTCGCCCATCACACAGCGTGTCGGCCGTACTATTTCACATGCAGTCCTCGGCCAGTTTGTCAAGCTAGGGTTTCACATATTTAGCAAAGGGAGATCTTTTGTCGACCACGCATTCACAAGCAACTTTGATGGGTTGAGCGTACTTCTCCCACTCGTCCGTGATGTAGTGAACGCCATCTTTGATGATGGTCATGCACGTGTTCGGCTTCTTCCGCAACATCGTCATGTAGACCACAGTCTGGCGACACGATCCATGAGCTGGAACAGTGAGTGAGTGAGTGAGTGGATGGGTGGTTGAGTGAGTCGGAACCGGACATTCACGTGACGTCAATCACTAGCCCATATTTATAACACTATCCTCCTGAGACATCATGCCTCAATTTAACACGAATGGGGTGTGGGGGATGTGGATTAAAAAGGTTCTCACCTGTTCCTCCCAGGTGCAGACACCCCTTGCTGTCCGTGTTACACCAGACCTCATTGATGATCCGGGGGAAGCGATCCGTCCCGAGGGTTGTGGTGTGGGCACATGTCGAACACAAATGTAGGTAGCCGTCATTGGTCTGTGCACCCACGTCTCTGCAGGTCTCCCCAGAACCTACCGAGTGAGTGGAGAAACACCGTGAACGAGTGAGTGAGTATGGTTTTACGCAATAGTGCAGCAATATCACGGCGGGTGACAGGAACGAGTTTGACCCATTACCCATGTGAGGAATCGAACCCGACTCTTCGGAGTGACGAGCGAACGCTTCAACCACAAGACTGCCCATTCGCCATCGTCCCTTGAGTTGGATAAAAGAAGGGTTATAACACGAGGAATGGTACGTTGTTGAGTATATTCTTAGTCTTTCACCAGGTTCCAGACTTTACAGATCCGTGAAGATCCGGGTTAGAATTGGTCTTCAGTAACCCATGCTTGTCATAAGAGGGCTAACGGGATCGGGTGGTCACGCTCACTGACTTGGTTGACACACGTCATCGTATCCCAATTGCATAGATCGATGCTCATGATGTTGATCACTGGATTATTTCCAGGCTCTAATATTTACAGACAGTCGCCATAAAGGTGGAACATGACTACGTGTGGCGTTAAGAAACAAACAAAACAAAATTATGATATTACAGAAGTTATCATCCATAAATTCCTCCCCACCACCCCTTCCCTTCCTCTCTTTAGAAGCACTTCTACATGACTGTCAAAAAGTTTTAAAACATCATATATCAATTCTAGAATTATATGATTAAATACCCACCAACCGCGTTACGTCGTACACGTTTTCTTTCTGGATACATGACCTTCGCCGGAAGTACCTGCGCGAGTATGCGCAGTGGAATGTTGACATTGATTTCCCGCCATTTACCGGGATTACCCATGATGAGGTTAGGACCGGTTTGTTCCTGTCCGCCAGATCCAAGATGTCCGGGATCGTTCTCACTCTTCGGTTTCAGGGTTACCTTCCCTGTGTCCTTGACCTCAATATCTTCATGATTTTCACTCTGCAAGACATGAAATATTTTGTATTTATGTGTAGGTGTGAACTGTATTTGTATGGGAATACTAAGCTTTATTTTCCGTTAAAAGAGTTCGATGGTATACGTATTGGGTGGACAGCTGCTTATCCGGCATGTGGCTATTAATTCGCAAAGAACGATACGATAATTCATGATGCTTAACCATGAGTTGAAAATTGAACAATTTGAAGTTTGGCCAATCTGTACTCTCTAACAATAGTGTTTGTTTCCTTTCGCCCGATAGTTTAATCGAAAAAGATTTATTTAGAGAAACACCAGACTTGAGTGTGGCATCTTCATCATTAGTAGAGAGATTTCGGCCAAAAAACTTTTTTGTTTGTCTGATAGCGTCTAACATCTGAAAATCTAGGAACCCCCAGCCTTCAATCTCACCCTGTAAAGTGTCCGGTTGAACAGCAGCTGCTGCAGTGACTTCGGCATGGTGGTGGTGGTGGTGGTGGTGGTGGAGTCGGGGTAGCTCCGGCTGTAATACTGCCTGTACGCCTCCTCCAGCTGACTAAGCAGTTCTTTCTTAGTCCTGGTGTAGTCCCACGCCCAGTCGTCAGGGTGTCCGTCAAAGTCAACATCCTGCATAAACAAACACATGGAAATTTATGGAGTCTCACAACTGATTTGCTGCAAATAATTAGTTGAGACTCCTTGGTCCTGATTCTGTTATTCCAAAAACCTTCAAGACGCCTACAGCTGAGATGCCTATACACAGGCATTAATACACATAGATGTACTTCTCTGCTCTGGACCACTCTGTTTGAATTAACGGATTGACGGGATTTTCAGTGATCCATTGACATTATTTTCACAGCTGTTTTTTGTCTTTACATCAAACTGAATTTGTTTCTGAGAATACATGTTGTCAAGATGGGCATTCTTTTGCACTGACGTTCTATACTGCAATCCCAAGTCATGTGACTATAAGCTTCCAGCGCCTAACAGGCAGCTTGGGTTATCCGGGGTAATAATGTTGTGATGTCTGTGCGCCCTTTGGCTGAATGAGTGAGTATGGTTTTACGCCGTTGTTAGCAATATTCCAGCAATATCACGGCGGGGGACACCAGAAATGGGCTTCACACATTGTACCCATGTGGGGATTCGAACCCGGGTCTTCAGCGTGACGAGCCAACGCTTTAACCACTAGGCTACCCCGCCGCCCCGTGCGCGCTTTGAGCATGCCCCTTTGTGGTGTGGAGTATTGCGCGGTATAAGCATCATCATTATATCAGCTTCAACGACGGTATCAAAGCCTCATGTGATCCAGTTCTCAGGCGTTTACCACTTCAGTGAAACTGAAAGGCTTCGGTGGCATGGTTTCTGGGATTGCACAATGGAATGTGCGGACTTTCTCTGAAAAGGTTAGAGAGATAACCGGCAATATTATTCTAATCAGTTGTGGATTAGTTGTTACATCCCCAAAGGAAGCCTGCAACACAAGCGGGGAACAAAGAACTCCTGCACCTCGGACCTCGGAGGGGATTATGTTGGAACACAAGGTCTGTTTGTTTTGTTTGTTTGTTGTTTAACGACGCTGTCAGCAATATTCAAGGGCCCTTATTCTCGAAACGTTCGTAGCCCTAAGAATTCTTAACTTTGATCGTAGCCAATGTGTTAAGAATGGGCTTAAGAAGTTCGTAGGGCTTAAGAAGTTTCGAGAATAGCTAGCCAGTTGGTTAGGTCCCATACTGCCTACAGTTCCAAACTGCCTACATCCCAAACTGCCAACAAAAACATTGTAGGCAGCGTGGGAAAAGAGTTTTTGCCTTGTAGAATAATGGAACAGCCCGAGTATCAATGAAGAAGGGGTGCTTCGTTTGGAGTAAGGGATAATTAGGGGGGATTATATTAGTATATATCTCTGCATATACTTCTGTGTATAGTATGTTTTGAGTCTTCTCATCCAATAAAGACTACAAGACAAGTACAATGATATTGTTTTATTTTGTTTTGGGAAACAGTTAGCATGTATTGAAATATTGGCCCGCGGACTAACAACCACCTTGAGGGGTGGCACCTGAAGCTGAAAAACCTTATTGCCAAAGCCCACCCAAACATCTACCTCTTCATCTGCAACATCAAGAAAACCGAAGCCGTAGACAAAGCTAAACGTGCTCAGCTCGACTGTGGTGCCCTCCCCAAGTCACGCAAGCGTGTTTAAAGAGAGCTCGATGCGAGACTTCTGAGACTGAAGGAGCACCTCCAGAGCGGCAGAAAAACGCCTCTTCAGTACCTTGATGCTGCTGGACATCTCATCATGTTTGCAAAGTGATTGTCAGTTGTGTGTGAAAAGATTGTAAAACCACTGAAAGACTGTAAAACCTATCAGTTTTTCATGATAAATCCATGTCTCCATGTAAATTCTGAGAATTCTCAGAATGAATAAAGATGTCCTACCAACCAACACTTGTCATTTTTTTAAACTTCTGTAGGCAGAGTGGGAAGACACCACAGAATTAACCAGCTAACTATTCAAGTTCATTTTAGCAGGGGTAGAACAGGTCGGATCGGTGTATTCACTTTCTGATCACTGGACCGTATCATGTTGTTTTAACCTTTTAGGCTGTTTGGAACTGTAGGCAGTATGGGAATACACCTTCCAGTTATATTGCGCGGTCTGTAAATATTTGAGTCTGGATCAGACAATCCAATGGTCAACAGCACGAGCATCGATCTACGCAGTTGGGATACGGTGATATGTGTGAACCAAGTCAGCGAGCCTAACCACCCGATCCGACAAACATGGGTTGATGAAGATCAGTTCTAACCAGGATCTTCACGGGTTTGAAACACAGGTAGCACCAGTCCACCGTAGTGATTGTAATTACAGTAAACGTTTCACTCGCGCCCATGACTGCTTATAATTATTTATTATAGCGTCATTTAACGCTAATCTCGTAATGTCCCGATACACACATTGGACATAAACACCTTTATTATCCATATGGTGAAACATAACCAGTGTCATATATATCATATGTGCACGTATCACTTTTGCCTAGCAACCATTCTTTCAATATTTCGTCATCTGTGACGTCACTTAAACAATTGAACGTGACGGCAATGAACTGGGCAGTCACACTTGCTTACCGTGTTTTACTGCACAAATGTTCATGAATAAAATGGATAATAAAGAAATTATTACACTCGCAAGTGTGCCACACGACTTATACGAAACTCATGCATAATTGCGTAACTTTCACACTCGTTTCGTATAAGTCGTATGACACACTTGCTCGTGTAATAATCTCTATTTATTAACGACTTGACCTGAGATTCTAACGATTTGTTTGGATAACCGATGACCTCTCAATTAGGTCACATTCTGACGTAACTATTTTTTCATTCTTAACAAACACGTGAATTCATTCATTCTACAACTTAAATGCATTGTGGGAATGTAAACATTGCGAACGTTGCCGTGTCGCTGTTTAATTATGAGTCGAACAGAGACATTATATCCGTCGAAAACATAAACGCAATGTTTCCACCAGTAATGTTACCCGAATGAAGCAACTGCAAACCAAGAAACGGGGTGCTACGGGTAGTTTACTGTAGGAGGCTGTACGAGGCGATGACAACTGACATGCATCGTGACGTCGGTTACCAAGGCAGTGACGTCATTACAGTGTGACGTCATGCAAATATTGTACTAGAGTACAAACTCTTCCGCAAACTCTTTATGAAACCGGTTTCGGTTTGAAACCATAAAAATAACAAAAATACGCTATTTTGTCAATTTAATGCATGTAAGACGTGTAAGAATCTCTATTTATTACCTACGAGGGCGAAAATATCGGATTTCATATTTTTCATACGATACCCTAGGGCAAAATATCACTTTGTCATGGTGACGTGACGTCATAAACAATGACATGACGTCACGTTTCTTCTGTGTCGTTGCGTTCTACATGCGGCGACGGCGGGTAGCCAGCCTATGTGTGAAAGTAGATTTGGGTTTATTTTCCTCAGTTTGACGACTTCGGTAATAAACAGAATGTTAATATATTCGTGCCCATATCATACTATGTTTACGACACAAGTGCCTAAATGTTGGTATTTTCCGAGCGAGAGCGAGGGAAATACCAACATTTAGGCACTCGTGTCGTAAACATAGTATGACATGGGCACGAATATAATATCCTCTATACATTAAATACGAATACGCAATCAGTAATATTAATAACTAAATCACAAAGCAGTTACCTCATACATATCGTTAAGTGACAACATGTTAGGGAAGTTCTGCTGCGCCTCATCATCCGACGTCGCCATGTAGTCTTTGACGTAGTTGCCGCCGACGTCAGACAAGACTTGCTTCAGCTGGTCATCGGAGAGGTCGAGTCGTCGCATCTGTGTATGTTGGCATGACAACGAACGGTTGACGATAGGGATGGGGGTGGGGCACTTCCCGGGAATCGGGGACGTTATAATGTCTCTGCCGTGATTGACGTTGTTGAACATGAAGCCGGCGACAGGTGTTGTGTGAGGAGACTTGTGAAGGGTGGGGACTGCATATTGCGTGGGGGTCAGGTAAAGGCCCGGAAATGGGTTGCCTGAAAATAAGGAATGAGTGAATAAGTATAGTTTTACGCCGCTTTTAGCAATATCACGTGGGGACTTTCGCCGTTACGAGCGAACGCTTTAACCACTAGGCTATCCCCGCCGTCCCTAAAAATAAGGAACGGTGCTGATCAGTAAATATGTGGCGGTGTTCAACTAAACTGACGTGCAAAATAAACTATACACAAATGTTTGAAGCCGTTAAACATGATACCAGCAAAACAATGCTTAATGGTGTTTATGTATTTGATAATTGTATCATACTTCAGTTTTGGACATCTAATTTGTAGAACTTCAGCAACTATATTCAGGGGAGAAATGTTTGCAATTTGTTGGTCCTACCGTATTTGTAAAGATATATGTTCAAAAACACCAAGTACATGGGTTTTTTTGCGCAGTATGCGCGTTTGCTTGGAGGCGGAAGAGTGGCCTCCCTTGACAAATAGGGTGAAACTGAGAGAAATTTAAAACATGGACACATGAGCGGCTCGGCGCTAAAGCTCAAAGGAAAAGGTATCACTTTTAGCTGCATGTTTTCACGTGAAAAACAGTCTCTTTTCAATATAAGTGTATAGTAATCAACAATCGAATAATAATCACAAGATTGATTTTTGGGAGTTAAAAGGATAGAAAGGGTATAAAGGCGTAATCCCATATTCGAATCATAGACATAAACAATGAATTTGATATTCATAATAAAAATATTATTATCTGTATTTGAAAGGTATTTGATAATAGGAATTGTGTTTTAAACTTTTAGACATTTTATATTTCCTATGAATCGAATGATGATAACAAGACATGTTTGATATTGAGTGATATCTATATTTTTATCTCACAAATTCAAATAATTGATCCTACTTTGTTTTCTAAACCCTCGTGAATCCGCCTTGACCAACGCGTGACCAATGTTACGTCATGTTTTGATTTAACACATTCCTACTAAAACCCCTGGGTGAGGTATACTGAATTTTAGAAACGTCAATATGGCGTTGTCGCTAAATCTAATTAGTTTCGTTTAACGATTTACTCATGAATAAAATCATTTTAATGAGAATAATTAACTAGGTTTCGACAGTGTTTATGCATTCTGATATGAGTCATGAAATTTAAATTGCGTTTTTATCTAAATATTTCAGAATCAGTTAAGCAATGATTGTGCATCTGGTTGATGTTCTACGGATGGTTTTTACATTCTTGGGAAACAGAGGCGGTACAATGGCAGATTTGACAAGAAATAAAACGTCTAAAATGTTATAGTTCTGTGTTATGGTAATAAACATTGCTATTGATTTTCTTGTTCACCTGACAGACAGTTTGCATGATATCTCAGGATCACATTTTATGTGTTATGTTTTGAATTCTTCATATAACATCGTTAGGCATGGCTTAATAAATATGGTTTTACCGCCGAAATCTCAGGATCACATTTTATGTGTTATGTTTTGAATTCTTCATATAACATCGTTAGGCATGGCTTAATAAATATGGTTTTACCGCCGAAATCTCAGGATCACATTTTATGTGTTATGTTTTGAATTCTTCATATAACATCGTTAGGCATGGCTTAATAAATATGGTTTTACCGCCGAAATCTCAGGATCACATTTTATGTGTTATGTTTTGAATTCTTCATATAACATCGTTAGGCATGGCTTAATAAATATGGTTTTACCGCCGAAATCTCAGGATCACATTTTATGTGTTATGTTTTGAATTCTTCATATAACATCGTTAGGCATGACTTAATAAATATGGTTTTACAAAGCATTTAGTGATATTCCGTAAATATAGAAAATGGATTTTACAAAATACACCGATTGGAAGAATCCAGCTTTCGAGCAGAACCACTAGGCTATCTCACCAGCAAGTTCTTATGACCATATTTTGCACGATAATTTCCTGTATTTCTTACCTGCACTTGACTGCAACTTTGAGTATACTACGTGGAGGAAGATGAGAATCGTCAACGTGTCCATCATATTCGTCGACTTAATACGCCTGCAGCAGAGAAACCCAGTTAGAGGTATACTTTGGACTGGCTGTCAAATGACCTGCTCTAATAAAGCGTCTCCTTGCATGTGGGAAGGTTGAGATCAATTCCGTAATTTACTTCAAAGCAGCAACTGATTGGCCAGCTTTCCTTTACGTCAGAGTAGCAGAAACATTTTAACTCAATACGTGACAAATAGGAATTACATTTACTGTCCACATCATCGTTGACGACAACGTGACAGTGAAACATTCTTGCATATGGTCATGTCGTACTGTCAATCTTTAGGGGACCTGTCATAACTCTATCGGCCTTATCTTCGTAATGCCTGGATATTTGTTCGAGTGTTAAGGCTGCACTAGACCACCTGTTGTGGTTGGGGCACGCCCAGCCGTTAGGCGACTTGAACTGCCTACAGCGTTAAGTGTGTCTTATCCACGAAATGTTGATATTATGTGGGAGTATGGCAAAGGGAATTAAAAGGATTAACTCGGTATCGAATTCCTGACAGATGTATCGTCTCTATGAATCAGTGGGGGAATCAGACTTCCATGTGTTGATAAATATATGTCTATAAATAGAACTATAAATAGTCGATCTAAACTAGAGTGCGATGGGGTAGAATAGTGGTTAAAGCGTACGCTCGTCACGGCTGAGACCCGGTTACGATTCCCCACATGGGTACAATGTGTGAAGCCCATTTCTGGTGACCCCGTGGTGATATTGCTGGAATATTGCTAAAAGTGGCGTAAAAACCTACTCACTCTCTATCTAAACCAGGCTTCTTCTGGTCTTGGATGCAAGTACTAGACCGAACCTATGACTTGTTTTAAAATGCTTGTCCACTGAGATACCATGCCACGTTAACATGGATACCCTCAGACACAGTATAGGGACTCCCAGTCAACCAGTCCATGTTCTATCCCTTAATGCTGACCGCAAGGCAGGGCAACAACAAGTCCCTTGGTGATCGAACCTTGGACCTTCCACTCTCCGGGCAGACCACTTGAGAGACCGAATTAATCTGGTATATATAGACGTCCCGATTTAGTGAGTGAGTGAGTTATACGCCGCACTGAGCAATATTCCAGCTATATGACGGCGGTCTGTAAATAATCGAGTCTGGACCAGACAATCCAGTGATCAACAACATGAGAATCGATCTACGCAATTGGGAAACGATGACATGTGTCAACATAGTCAGCGAGCCTGACCACCTGATCCCGTTAGTCGCCTCTTACGACAAGTATGGGTTACTGAATATCATTTCAAACCCGGATCTTCACGGAAATCGGAGATAATTATTTTTGACAAATATATTCGGAATCACTGTCAATTGTGGTCCGGTTTCGTCAGGTAGTGCCTCTATTGATTTATTGAATAAGTGTTATGGACTTGACGATTTGGCTTCACGTACTGATCAGAATCATAACTGTCTAGGCACAACAAATCGCAACACACTTCTAAGTTGTTGTATTGGTCTGAGTCATGGGTAATGTGATCTGGGTTAGAACTGATCTTCAGTAACCCATGCTTGTCGTAAGAGGCGACTATAAACGGGGTCGGGTGGTCCGGCTCGCTGACTTGATTGACACATGTCATTGTATCCCTATTGCGTAGATCGATGCTCATGATGTCAATCACTGGATTGTCTGGTCCAGACTCGATTATTTACAACCCGCCGCCATATAGTTGGAATATTGCTGAGTGCGGCGTTAAACAACAAACAAAGACATGGTCAATGAGCTTTGGAGTAAGAGAGATGGTCCCTCTTCCAATTTGTTTTTCCTTTTAAACATTTCCCATCGGGAATGACGTATCATCGTTATAATTATATGCGATAATCTTAGCTTCAATGGCAAGTTGAAAGGGATTTCAACCTTTTGTTAAAGAAAGTGAGTGGGTGAGTTTTTACGCCGCGTTTAGCAATATTCCAGCAATATGAAGGCGGGTTGTAAATAATCGGGTCTGAACTAGACAATCCAGTGATTGACATCACGAGCATCGATCTACGCAATTGGGAGTGCCCAAATGGCCTTCACACATTGTACCCATATGGGGAATCCAACCCGGGTTTTCGGCGTGAAGGGCGAACACTTTAACCACTAGGCTACCCCGCCGCTCCTGTTAAAGAAAGTGTTTAACTTTTTCTGTTGCAATGAGCACGGTTGTCATTTTGCACATATCGTGATAAATGCAGGGATGTACATCATGTATTATTGTATTCTGATACTCATGGTGACGCTATACTTTTTGACCCAATCAAAAATTAAAAGTTTCCTTTTCAAATATTTATACCCGAGCCCCTCGCTAGATCCATGTCTCCTGCAAAGTATAGCCTATTTGGAAATATTCAAGCTACATCAATATTTCAGCCCATTTGAAACCGATGCATGTTGCGTTGATAATAATCTGTTATTTGAAAACTAGAAGAGTGTACCGGGCCTGAATAAATGTAATCAGACTGGGATCAAACCCGTACCTTTCCATTGATGCCCCCTTCGGTATCACTGTACCACTGAAGGTCACCTAACTTGTTTCATCAACTAAGTGGTCTTTGCGAAACACTTAAGACCTCTGGAGACATATCAGTGTACCTAGCTGGTACAGTCAGACAGCAAATTGTCATATAGAGCCATGCCGATTAGATGAACGCTAAATGTTATATTGATTTTTACTTTTCAAGAAACCAATGACGTCAAATGAATGTCAGCTTGAAACACTGGATGGTGTGATGCACGACGGTATTCGGTGTACCATCTGATATTTAGCATAATGTGAACGAAATATGGACTGGAACCCTTCCACATGCTGACAATCAGCTGGCAGAAAAATAACAAAGGTAAGATGCTGTTCCTTGTCGACGACCAAGATATATAAGAACATGATGACAAAACTTGTAGTGCATGTAATGATGATGACGTTAATCACATGTTAAACAGTGAAATATCGAACGTTGAAATTCTTCAGGCTATTGACAATCTCAGTGTTGGGAAAGCGCCTGGACCTGATGCAGTTACACCTGAGATGATTAAATCTTGTAAATCTGAACTGTTACCGTATTGTCATGTGGTATTTAATGCTATACTTACTAGTGGTAAATTTCCTGTGGAATGGACCAAGGGATTAGTGGTACCATTACACAAAAAAGGAAAAGCCTCAGAAGTTAATAATTATAGAGGCATAACACTTACTGACATTATGAGTAAAGTTTTTACATTCATTTTGAACAAGAAATTAATACTGTTTTGTTCTTTGTATGAACAGCTGCCTGAATCACAAGCAGGGTTTAGAGCTGGTTACAGCACTCTAGACAATATTTTAATTTTACAATGTTTAGTACAAAAGTATCTTACAAAGACTAATGGTCGCTTTTACTGCTTGTTTGTTGATTTCAAAAATGCATTTGATTCTATTAATAAAAAACTATTATGGTACTCTGTATTGAAAAGGGGCATTCATGGTAAACTATTTAATGTTTTGTTTGATATGTATGCAAATGTAAAATCTGCTGTTAAATTAACTAATTTGTCAACATCCAGTTATTTTGATACATTGAGTGGTGTGAAACAAGGATGTGTACTCAGCCCCTTGCTGTTCTCATTGTTTGTGGTAGAATTTGGAAATATACTCTCCCAAAAAAGAAACGCATCATGAAAATAGCAATTTCATGTAGCAATGAATTAAAACGTGATTCATTTTACAAAAGGTTTTGCTCTGTTTATGAGTCCAATGGTGTTTATGTTTTGAAACATCAAAACAAAACGCACCATCCGTAAAATACCCGTATTTAACAGCATGATTTTCAATTTCGGCGTGTAGTGTCACAGAATACACAATTCACATGCAATGTGCGTGAAAGTTTGGTATCAGATAGTCTCAATGATGGGTATAAAAGGTTGATCGCTGTCTGTCGATTATTCACTGTATTTGGAATATTGTTGACGAACGCAAAATGCCACGTCTAAGTGAAGCCAACCGTCATATCGCCATTGGTTTGTTTGAAGCTGGCAAGTCTCAACGTGCAGTTGCCCGACGCATGAATGTTCACCAAAGCACCATTTCACGGCTCTGGGAGAGATATCGCCGGCAGAATGCGGTAGTAGATGCCCCTCGTAGTGGCGACCTCGAGCGACCACTGCGGCACAGGATCGCTACATCCGGGTACATCACCTGCGTCATCGAACAGCTACGGCGACCAGTACCGCTCGACAAATACCCGGATTGAGGAGGCTTTCTGCACAGACCGTCAGGTACAGGTTGAGAGAGGCTGGTTTACGTGCCAGAAGACCCTGTGCTTCGACAACAACATCGTCGACATCGAGTTCAAGGGTGCACCAACGTTCAGGACTGGAACCTACCGAACTGGCGTAGAATCTGGTTCAGTGATGAATCACGATTTCTATTGGAACGACGCGATGGAGGAATGCGGGTGTACAGACGTCGACGTGAACGTTTCGCCGACGCTTGCGTTCCCCAGATGGACAGATTCGACCGGGACAGTGTTATGATGTGGGGAGAGATCACCTGCCGTAGGAGAAGTGATTTGGTGATGATCCAGGGCAACCTGACAGCTCAACGGTACTGTGACGAAATCCTACGCCCACACCTCCTTCCAATCATTGATCGCCAGAGGGAGTTGTTTCAACAGGACAATGCCAGGCCCCACACAGCACGTCACACTAGAGACTTCCTCCAGAACCACAACATCAATGTGCTCCCCTGGCCCTCAAGATCACCGGACTTAAACCCGATCGAACATCTGTGGGATGCCCTGGACAGACGGGTGCGACGCCGTAACCCTCAGCCCCAGACACTTCAGCAACTCGCACAGGCACTACAGGCAGAGTGGGCTGCGATTGGGCAACACGAGATTCTGAGACTTATTCGTTCGATGCCGAGGCGATGCCGTGCAGTTCTGGATGCCCACGGTAGTCACACGAGGTATTGACTTCAGCGCCACCACACGTCTCCATGTGACACTCAAACTGACTTTCCTCGAGTTGGTGCCAAAGACGGATAAGTCTGCATTCCCAGTGTGCAATTTCACTATATTTCATTGACTCATAAAGCCTACAAGATGTTTCAAAATAAACATAAAAATACAGTTGAAATTCCTATATGCGTTTCTTTTTTGGGAGAGTATATGTTGTATGAATCCAATGTTAGGGGTATTTTTGTAGGTGAAGAATTTATGGATATATTGTTGTTATTTTATGCAGATGACTTGTGTGTGTTTGATGACAGTGTTGTTGGTTTGCAGAGAAAACTTGATGTTCTTAAGCAGTATAGTATT